TTGTGTATATGTACCACATCTTCTTTATCCATTCATCTACTGATGGACATTTAAGTTGCTTCCATATCTTGGCTATTGTAAATAGTGCAGCGATAAACATAGGGGTGCATTTGTCTTTTTCAAACTGGAGTGCTGCATTCTTAGGGTAAATTCCTAGAAGTGGAATTCCTGGGTCAAATGGTATTTCTATTTTGAGCATTTTGAGGAACCTCCATACTGCTTTCCACAACGGTTGAACTAATTTACCTAATCTTTTCTTTCTTCATGCACAGAGGAAGTAATACCCTACAAGCCTGCAACTTCAGCAGGAGAGCCCTTTGTAAATCGGAAAAGTGCGAGAGAACTATGGAGAGATCACCAGCCCCACCACCTCCTCAGCTTCCTACAAACAGGTCCAACACTTGGCTGAAACCTGCTTTCCATCCCATCGAAGTCCCACCTCCCCCACAAAACCTTGATTTCCAGACCACCATTAGCTATTCCTTTTCTTCCCACGTGCTGTCATATGACTGGCCTTGCTTAACTCTCCGTAACCGTTTAGCATCCTAACTGGAAGTGTCAGGAGGAGAGAGACCATTATTCAACCGTCCACATTACCAGTGCATCTCCAAAGCCTGAAGCAGCTGAAAGTACATTCAGAAAGACTTGTTTAGCACATTCCAAGGTACCCAGGCAACGTCACTGAATGAACACGTTAAGTTTATGTACTCAGTAAGTGTAACCTGGGATGTGCAAAAATATGCTCAAATATAAACTCAATAAACGCTGCAATTAAAAGAACGGGCCACTCTCCTCCATCAACACAGTCTCCCTGTCGCATCCAGCTTTTGAGCCGTAAAAAGCACATTACATGTTAACATTTTTAAGGAACTAATGGTCTTCAAAACAAGTTTGTGAGAAGAGTGGTTTTGGGGCGTGCAGAGTTCTCCTTCTCTGACCCGCAGCCCCTGGCACCGTGGACCTCCTCTGGCAACTCGAAAACCGCCGGCGTCTCGGCTTACCCGCGGCCGCGCCGAGGGGCACCAAGGCCAGGAGCCGAGGAGAACTCGCGCGGGTCCCGGACCCGCCGCCCCCAGCCCGGGGTCCGGTCCCCACCCGCCGCGCGTCACCTGCAGCACAAGCGCCTGCGCGGCCCCCGGGGGGAAGCCCATGCGGTCGGACGGGTGGCGCAGCAGGCGGTAGAAGTCGGTCTTGCGGTAGAGGAAGCCGAAGAGCACACGCAAGAAGTCCTGGACGTTGCCCGCGTGCTGCAGGATACCCAGTAGGGCCTGATCATACAGCTCGGCCGCGCCGGGATCCATGGCGTCGCCGGCCGCGGGAGGCTCCTCACTGCAGGAGGGCCGGACGCCGGTCCGCCGCCACTTCCGGAGCACGGCTGTAATGGCCCCGCTACAGGCGTACCGCAAAATTTCTGGTCCGCGTTCTTTCGGCCCCACGGCCGGGCTGGGCAAGACTGAGCTAGGGCGGCCTTGTTGCGGGTGCCGCCCCGCCGGCTTCCAGGGGCGGCCCCGCTAAGCAGCCCTCGCGAACCCCGAAGTGGCTCCTAGGCGCAAGCAGGCCCAGGGCGGCGAGGCTGCTGACGCCTGGCGGCCATGTTGGAAACGGGCGAAAGGGCGCGTCTGGGGCAGCTGCCCACGGCCCGGCGCCATCACGTGGTCTCCAGGCCCGAGCTGCCTGCGGGAGGTGTCCCGTGTGCAGCAGCCAGCAGGGACGCGCGGGGACGGCGTGGAGGAGAGCCGTAAGCGCACACGCAGACGCCTAGCGGAGCGCCCCGACCCTGCGATGCGGCGCACTGCGCAAATGCGTACACGGGGCATCCACGCGGCTTCGGCGTAGGCCAAGGGCAATCGTGGAAAGGTCAAGGCCTCGAGCGCGCGAGAAGACTCCCCGCAGACCCGGTCGCGGCCTGGGGACGCTGGTGAGGAGCGCGGGGGACCGGGTGTCTGCAAACGGGAAGAAAGCGTGAGGTTGGGGGCGCAGCCGGCTGGCGGCCGACCGAGGGGTGCTTTCCAGGGCATGGCGTGCCCGGCGTCTGCGCGCCCGTGGCCCACGGCGAGCCGCGGGACAGCCGTGAAACCAGGGGCGTCCCGCGCGGCGGTTCTGGGGCTCTTGGTTCTTAGGGCCCGTTTTTATAGACGCTGAGGAGCTTGTTTATGTCATGCTTATCAATAGTTACCACGTTAGAAATTAAAACTGAAAAACCTCTTAAGTATTTACTTCTGATGAACCGTAAAAATCACATTACATGTTAACATTTTTAAGGAACTAATGGTCTTCAAAACAAGTTTGTGAGAAGAGTGGTTTTGTATATTTGCATATCTTTAACGTCCGTCTTCATCAAAGCCAGCAGGACTCAACCTGCCCCGTCCGCTACACTGCACTGTGCTCTCAATGAAAAAGCTGCTGTGCACAGGTGCTGTCGGGAATGGGAGGAGTACCTTAATCCTCTTTGCAAATACACGTGTGCATTGTTTGAAATCACACCAAAATTGGACAGGTGGAAGTTCTTAAAGGTTAGTTGCAGTATAGAATATCTGACACAATGTCAACTTGTCACATATCCGTTGGTCGCCTGCACTTTGAATCTTTTACACATATTATTTTGTAACACCAGTGTGGAATGCTGAATGTTTCAAAATAATTTGTTACAAATTTATGGACAGCCTCACTAAAGGGTGGAGAAAAAGATGCTGACCTGAGAAACTTGGGAACTAATGGTGTCAGGAAGACCAAAGGTGAAAGGTTGCTGCATTCAGACTCCTTGTTCTAAATGTTTCACCTGGCAATTTGGGTTATCATTTCTGAAGGTACTCATACGAACAATTAATAAAGGTTACAGATAAGCAAAGGAGTCTAGAACGATCCTTGTGGTAATGGATTAGAGCTCGAGGCATCAGCACAAACTTGTGTTTTAACCTTATAAGTAAGGTGGTTCGTGCAGAGATACTTATAGAAATGCATGCATACCTTGGTCAGTATACATACATATACTCCCCTGGTCTCTCAGGTGAGAGGCCCCAAAGCAACATGTGCATGAAGCCCCAGACCCTGGTTTCTGATCCCATTTCCAGTGAAGGGCCAGGACTCCTTGGAGCAATGGCAGGTCCCATGACTGCATTAGAAGGTGCGCTCAGACCGTCTTGTAGAGCCAGAAAGTAAGGAAGTGCTAGAAAAGGAAAAAATCTTCCATGATGGGAGTATGACAAAGGGACACAGGAGCCAACTCAAAAAGCTCCCACTGGCCACAGCTGGGACAATTTGAGCAAAACAATAAAGTAATAGAATATTAGAACCCAAGGTACAAAATGAATGTCCATGAGCCCATACTGATACACATATATATATCACATAAATAAATAAGTGGAGGGAATAGACTATCCTTCCTGTTCAGAAAAATTCCAAATAATTGATGTAAATACTCCGCCCTACTGGAGGTGGAAGACAACTCCCTACTCTTTAAGTGTGGGTTGTGCATAGTGACTTCCTTCAAAGAGCACAGCATGGAAAGGGGGAAACAGAAACTACAGAGGAAATGCTTCAAGACCTCGGCTAGGCAGGTAGGGTAACTATCAGCAGGGAAGAGTTGGGGCTGTAGCGTGCACCCTTGGTATGATGTGCTGAGAATGGTGTTCTCCCTCTGGTGTCCCTCCCCAAAGGCCATCACTCCAGTTCAATCAGGAGAAAAACACCAGACAAACCCCTTTAGAGGGTCCTCAAAACTGTCAAAGTCATCAAACAAGGAAAGTCTGGCAAACTGCAGCCAAGAGCCTAAGTAGATATAACTGAGTATGTACTCTCCTGATGGGGTCCTGGAACAGAAAAGGCCACTAGGTAGGAAGTAAGAACATCTGAATAAAGTGTTATTAGTTAGCAATAATCACCAGTATGGGTTCATCCACTGCACGCTGATGAATGTGCCATACTAATGCAAGAAGCTAACAGGGTGACTGGGTGTGGGGCATGCAGGAACTCTGTACTATCTTTGCAATTTTTCTGTAAGTCAAATTACAGTACAATGAAGTTTTCTTTTTAAAAAAATTTTTTTAAGTGATAATCATCCATAATTATATCCCCTGTCCCCAAATGCAGGTACTGACATTTGTACAGGTAGAGATGGTCATCCAGTGCTAGTGGGGATGGAGAGGGCAGCTGCTCCAGGGAGGCCACCATCTGCACCCAGGACGTCCACAATGGACCACTTCCAGGCAGCTCTCCCACACACAAGGAGACAAGCAAATGTGCTTGTTCATGCAGGTCAGGTTCTGCACCCAAAATTCCATAAGTGGGGTGAGTTTCAGAATTTAGAACATTTTTTTAGAAAGGTTATTTGATGTTTACAACTACTTCAGATATTAGAACCCATTGGGGCCTGGGACAGCCACCCAGAATCACACTCAATGCATGAAATAACATGACTGTTCACACTGAGCAGGATGAAGAGTGTTAATATTTATAGAGTAAAACAGATACATCCTGTTTGGTCAGTTTTTGCAACCAAATGGCTTTGTCCCAAACTTAAAAAGGAAAAAAAGATAAATTAGATTTTCAGAGCCTTTGGATTTTGGGGTTCCAGATAAGTGATTACAGGCCTGTAGTAGAAAAACAACTGGGAGCAATCTGATTGCCACTGGTGGAGGATGGATGAAACCATGTGGCTGGACTAGATCTCTACCAACACGAATGAGTCTCAGATGCATGTGGTGTGAAAAAAACCTCATTGTCAAAGAGTACTTCAAGTACAGTATTTATGAAACATTTAAACTGCAATAACACCACATGTTGTGTACATACACACATATGGAATTAAAGTTTAAAAACTCATGTGAGATCACATGACAAGTTCAAGATACAGATCAGGAACAGGTTACAGCTATGAATTGCAGGCCACATCCTTCACAGTCCTGTGTCCTTATGAGTGCCATCTGCTGGCCAGAGGGTGGCCTGTTTTGGCCACTCCCTGGCAACTACCCCAGGCACTCAGTGGGAGGATGGGTCACCCCACAGGGAAACCCAAGTGGCCCCTGGAGTCAGGGCATTAAGCCTGGACAGGGCCTTTGACTCATTAGATCCCCTGCTCACTGTGAGACCAGGAGCCAGCCCTGCCAGCATGGTGGCTCCCAGCAGGGTACTCAAAACTGCCATTGATGTGAGTGGTTGGCTGAGCTCATGGGGGCCAGGCGCTTTGGGCAGGAGGCTCTTCTGGCCACCACTGCTACCTCCTCCGCCTCCCACTTCTGCTCCAGCACTAGAGCTGCATTGACATCGGGCCCTGCAGAAAGAAAGGCGTGCAGCCAGCGGGGGGAGGTAAAGACAGAAGGACCAAGCCCTGCCAGTGCCTCGTCACTGCTCTGCACAGGTTCTCTCTGGCCCAAAGGCACCAGTGCCGGCTCAGCTGCTATCCTCCCCCATCTGCTTCCCAGAACAGGCCCCACCTGCTCTTGCAGGGAAGCCCAGCAGCCCCACAGCCACTGCCTACCCTCTTCCTTCCTAGAGCACCACATGCTAACATCCAGCACATGCCCTCCTTGCTGAGGACATGGCTCCTCAGTCTGTTGACAAATGGAGGGCAGGGAGGGGTCTCAGGGCACTGGGTCCTGGCCGTGCACAGGAGGCAGGCCTGTGGGCTCCTTCTCCCTCCCTGACACAGAACCTCGGGGAGCTGCTCCTCCTTATCCCCTCATCCATCCCACCCACCACCACACACACATACTCCCTCTTCCAAGAGGGTTAGGAAGTTCCTACAAGACTATGGGGACATGAGCAGGGACACCAGAGCTGCGTGGGCTCCAGCCTGACACATTAGACCAGCTCAGCCTGGCACAGGCTCAGTTGCCTCATCTGTGAAATGCAGATGGAAAAATCACCCACCCTAGGGGTGTGAAAAGGAGCAGGTACACGCACTGGGCACAAACACCCTTCCAGAACATTTCTCTACAATCACCACTGTTATTGGGGGGGAGCAGAATTGACCTGCTCCCGGCCTGCCCACCCTGAGAGGAGGCGACACCTCATCCTGGGGTCTTGGTGTCAACAGTGAGGAAACAGCAATGGGCTGTTGCTGGGAGAGGCTTTGATGGCACCACTTTCCAGAGTGCGCTAACCACTGGACTTTGTCTCAGGAAATACTGAAGGATGAGGTCAGAGGCACAAGGCTGGTTATCACAGTGCTGGAGGCATAGGCAGAGAGTCAGAAATAATGCAGTGTGCTGCAGCCGGGAGCTGGCTGCAGGGTAATGGTCAATCCACACAACTCCAAACAGCAAGTCGCCACCCATTAATAACTCATGAAGTCAATTCTGAGGCTACCCCCAGCATCTTAAAAATCAATAGTGGAATAGAAAAGAAAATTTCAGAGTGCCTCAAGGACAGAGAGACAAGTGTTACTCTGAAATGTTTGTGTGTCCCCATCTGTGCTCACAAGCATCACCTCACTGTGACATACTTCTTGAAGATCACAATTAAGAGTTCAGCAGCATGAATGTTTGAGATGCATCTCCTGACAAAGAAAGATGCTTGCACATGTTAACAGAGAAGCTGCAGCTTCCAAACCCAGAAGCAGCATGTGCTCAGTCTGAGCAGGAGCT